TATGCATTGCTATATTTTAAGGGCTATCGCAATGACTTGTCGAATTCTGGAACCTGGAGAGGACTTTTCTAGCGCTTGAAGGCAAGGAATTCAACGAAAGGTGTGCCCATAGTTACAGTAGTACTCACTTTACGGAATAAGCTGTTTCTTTCAAGGATACGTGGCCCGGATGGGAAGGTTTCTCAAGCGAAACTTGATGAAGTCTGGCCTCGCCTTCGTGTATTGGCTCGAGCTCAACCGGCTGACAAGTACACCTTGGTGAAAGGTATCATCGACAGCAAAGCCACTCCTCAAAGGTTTATTGATTTTTTGACTCACAAGTGGTTACTGTAAGGCTAAGCATGTCATTGGCCTAATCTCCATAATGTCAATATTTTCTCAGAGAAATTGTCGCTGTGACCGGAGACGGTACTAATGACGGTCCAGCTCTGAAGAAAGCCGACGTCGGATTCGCTATGGTGAGTAGTGTTACCAGGGTTTGTTCTGGAATTGTGAGCTTCGTATATGAGTGTGAGCGTAGGAGTAGGAGTAGCAGTTGGGTCATAAGCTTCACTTTCTTGAAGAAGGCCCGTCCCCTCGCTTGGTACCATCTGTGAGGTGGGATCTGGTCCGCGTCCAAGGAACGGCACGGTTCCTGGGTGCTGTAGCTATCAGCGTCTTCCCGACAGTTGGAGCAGCTTGGCTCTGTATAGAATGGAATACTCTAAGAGAAAGTTCTGTTACAGTACCCGTCGTCCAATGGCGAGCACTGTAACAAGATCCCTGCTAGTCCTCGAGGAGAAGGGAAGATAGATTCAAGAGAGGAGACAGGGTAGACCTTTCATCTTCAGGGGAAAGGTAGAATATGGCTCCAAGTGCGCCACCCGAAAAAGACGAGCTATCCGTGATTATCACTAACACTACTGTCACAACAAACAGTTCACCTTAATTGTCTTCGACCAATTATAACAGATGTCGTTAATACGTCCGGCGTAGGACGCACATAAAACTGCCATCCTTTCCCTCGAAGTGCCCTAATTTTCAGTCTCTCCAACCCTCATTCAAAAGTTTAATTGCTCTAAAAGACATTATTCTAGGGTATCGCTGGAACCGATGTTGCTAAAGAAGCTTCGGACATCATTCTTACCGATGACAATTTTACCTCAATCGTAAAGGTAAGATTGCCCTTGAACATAGGTGTATCAATATTTGCTTATTTGGGGCAAGCGAGAAGAAGTGATTTGTAGCGCTGCAGTGTGCTATGACTATCTGATGGGTCATTCCTTCGCAGATCATCCAAGCTCGCCATTGTTTTTAGTGAACTCGTACAATAGCACTGCTGTCACTTGCAGGCTGTTATGTGGGGTCGTAACGTCTACGATTCAATTTCGAAATTCCTACAATTCCAACTCACGGTCAACGTCGTTGCTGTGCTCACCGCATTTGTCGGTGCTGTGACGGTGTCTGATTCTCCACTGAAGGTCTGATTTCCAGTAACTTTAAAATTTGAAATCGGTATTTCGTTTCTGAAAAGAGTCCGCACAATGTGCTGGCAATATGTTTGGAGCACTCGCCAATCCCAGCGTTTTCAGGCTGTTCATATGCTTTGGATAAACTTGATCATGGACACCTTAGCATCGTTAGCGCTGGCCACGGAAGTCCCTACCGATGACCTTGTTGAATCGAAAGCCATATGGAAGGTATACTAGATGCTTCACTTGCTAATAACTAAGGAGAAGTGACTAAAGGGACCATAGAGGAGCAACATTGATAAACTCATAAACGAACTAGGAGAAGTCCACGCAACTGTGGATTTTTTTGTGTTCTCAATGCTCATAATAACAGACCATTATGGTTACTTTTGACGTCAAAAATGGAAGCTTGAAAGGGAAAGGAAGAAAAGACGAAAAATCACCAGCCGTGATAATCGGGATTGAATAATGGTAAAGAAACGGCTAAAAATGCCTATACTATCATTTTAGGAAAAAATCTCTCATCTCCCGGACAATGGTGAAGAACATTCTCTGCCATGCTCTCTATCAACTGTTGATTCTGTTCACAATTACGGTCTAAGCTTAAGTGTTTACTATTCAAGCTCAAGAACATATATGATGTAGGCCACTACTTATATTTCCATTTATCCTCCAAGAAGAATTTGATAGCCAATTCCTCTACGATTCGAGATGAAAGCAGAATGCGTGGCGCATTCCGAAATAGAATGACAAAAGCGGAATGCGCAATCCTTAAGAAGCTCTATTGTTCTTCTTTCTATTTTACGATCACACAAAATTGTTTGTCTTTAGGGCTTGATTTTTTTCGCGTGTCTACAGAATAACCGCTTTGCGCCTTAATAGTTGGAGCAATCAGAAATCTTCTTGTTTCTCTTTGAGCTTTCGATGTTTATGTAGCATATCCCTAATTCAGCCGTGTCTTCACTAAACTGCACGCCTTTGCCTTGTTCCCCGTTGATTTGTAGCCCTTATCGACCAAAAATGCGTACAGCAATGTTTTTCTCAAGTTACAAATACTTCACGACAGACCGTTGAAACTCGACGGCGTTTACGTTCTTTAAAAAGCGTCATAAATCCAATTTTCAAGCGGGACCGTAAGGAGATTGTAGATAATTCGGCATCTGACACCCACTGTTTTCATGCTTTCCTTGTATTTGAACAACAACCATTACTATACAAAATTCAGGAGATCGCATCTTCGGCATCAAATCCGGTCTGTATGCTCCGCTTTTCGCTCCTCCTTCTCAACATTTCACCCTTGTTTTCAACGCATTCGTCATGATGACAATTTTCAACGAGATTAATGCAAGAAAAGTGCACGGCGAGCGCAACGTCTTCAAGGTTTGATTTAAGTCATCCCTTAAATTTGATCGGTTTTCTGAGTTGAATCTATCGTAAAAGGAAAACGGGTTGCACGAATTTGAACTCCAACTTTGTAGCCCATAATCCATGCGCGAGGAACCGACGGCGTAGCGGAAAGTCACCAACCGCGTTCCTGCCCTCATTGCCTTCATGTCAATGTTGGCCTTACAGTTAGAATGTTCTTTGCAACATTTCTTCCGGGCTGAATTTGTTCGAAGGCCAAAAGTGGGATACTCAAATATATTGGGCTCGTTTAAGTAATTCCGAGCGATGCAGCTTCCCAGCTGTTATGGACGGTACTGAACCGACCGAATCTTCCACCAACGAATATTCCAGTGAGATTCATGACAAAGAACCGTCTATATAGTTTGTACCGAAGGGATTAAGACCTTTCAAATAGGGTGATATCACCTGATTGAGTTTCTCGCTTTTTTCCAGTTGATTACGGTAGGTGAGAGGAAGAGGAGAAACCCGCCCTGAAAGGACAAATAGCGCCAAGCTTCCATTGGAATGAGCCGTTTCATTCTGTCGTTTGTTCACCTCATTATCGTTGCGCACCCTTACTGCTCAAAA